CCTGCAGCCTCGTCTGCCATCACTTCTTTCAGTGTGTCCTGGAATGTCAGGGTCTCTTTAGTGAACAGCCTCTGCTGTAAGTCTCTGCTTCTCAGGCCACATACCAGTCAGTCCCGAAGCCAGTCCTCTAGGTCGGGAAACTCGCAGAGCCTGGACGCTTGGCGTAGGGCAGCCACGAATTCAGCAATGGTTTCACCTGGCTGCTGCTCTCTCTGCTTAAACATGTGTCTGTATGCGATAATGGACAGTCTTGGTTCGAAGTGCTCTTTGAGTCTTCATTTTAAGTCAATGAAGGTGACTGACTCCAATGTAGCAGGAGCGTCTAGGTTCTCCACTATATCAAAGGTGGCTTGGCCACACACGCACAACAAGGTTGCAGCTTTTAAATTATCTTCTCTGACCTGAAGTAGTTTTCTACTCTTGAGACGTATGAACTCTATCGTTCAGGGTGCGTTACATCGAACTCTGAAAGCTTGCCGACTTTGGCCATGGTTTGGCTGTTGCTGCGTCTCCAATGTCTTATGCTTCTAGGGCTTCTGTGAGTTTCCTAGGGACAGATCCCAAGGAATGTGCTACCTCCAGTATTTGCGTACTGGCAGGCAGAAGGGGGCAACGCGGTTCCAACCAGGGCACTGATGCCTGATCTTACCCCTTAGTGACTTAGCTCTTTCCTCCTAGCAGCATATCCCACCTTCGTCGCCACTGTTGTATAGTGAGAAGACACGGAAGTTGAATTAACAGCTCTTTATTAGGTTCTCACAGAAGCAAAGCTCTAGCAGCTGCTTGACTTATATTTATATGAACCGCCACTGGGCGACGGCCAATCAGTTTAAAGTACTCATTCCTGCCTAAAACACAAGGCTTAAAGTTATACAGACAGCCGGTCTATGATTCAAATAAAGCAATCAGTTAACCGTTTTTTATAACAGACCCTTTGAATTGCTTAATACATAACAGTTAGCAAAATATTATAATATATTACACTATCATAATTTTTCAATCATTCAAATACAGTATTCCAGCTGGAATATTGTATTATGAATATACATCATAATTTCACTTGTTAAACATATAATAACTGTAGCAACCAGGCTGAATTTACTAATATATTACCATATTGGTGAATTCTTGTTGTTTTCATTACTTATTGTTTTATTATTTTACTTCTGTTTTGTTTACACTCTTTTCATTTCTTTTTTATTGTTGTAAACCACTTAGAGTAGCCCCTTGGCAAGATAGGCAGCAAATAAATTTAACAATAAACAAATAGTGTTATACTTCACAAACTTTAAATTAGATCCAAAGGAACAGCTCTTAATATTCAATCAATAGAAATCACCTGAAAATCACATATTTTGAATCAATTTTTGTTCAGAAAAAAAATGCTTGGCTTTAATTCTAAGCAATATCCATATCCTCAATCAGTATCTGAAAATATGCTGTTCATTTGATTCAGGCTCCCACTGTGTCAGACAATTTATATATATATAAGTCATATTAATACATAATGTATATATTGATGAGGAATAACTGGATTTCACCCTATAGCTTTCACAATTCTGTTAAGATATAAGGTATCCCATGAAGGAAATGTCTACAAGCCCTTCATTTTGGCTACCAAGATAGACAACATTTCCAATTTTTTAAAATTTAGATATTAGAAGTTATCAGTTAAAATGTTTTATTCAATCAGCTTTAATTAAGCATATGATATATGCTCTCAGAATTCATCATTCAACTTTAGTACTTCTTTCTACCTAAAAGGAAAAAAGATAATAATGGTTTTTAGAAGTGCTTCTTTATATGCCTAAAAGGTGATAAAAAACTGAGTTAAGAAATTCTCCTTTAGCAGAACATACTCAGCTTTCTTCTCTTCCCTATATTCTCTATATGGGTCTTAATTTTTCCTATGTTAAGTGATAAAAAATAAAGAATATTTCAGTGAGTAGCAACATTGCACAGCAGGTTGCAAAGCAGTGAACCTGGAGGAAAATTGAGTCAACAGAAGTCCATTTGTGTAATGTTGGTTTTAGTTCATCATGACAAAGCATACTGATATATTTTAAGTCATTTTTTATTGCAACATTAAAATGTCAAATTTATGTTCTCCACATTTCTGTAACTTTCACCATGAAATCTAAAATATATTTGTCTAAGAAAATAAAACTTAAAACAGAAGGGTATTGTCCTACAAATGTTTAAAAGAAGATAATAGAAGTATTCTAAAACATGTTTTCTTTCTAAAGGTTACAGAAGAATAAGCATTTATATAATAAAATATAACAAACAATCTATAATATGTCCATTAAATATTATTTTACTGACATCAATGGAAAAACACTTTAGAGGATTAAAGCACCATCAGTGTGTTTGAATGTCAGAGCATATAAAATCAAGCATCTATCATTCGCCTAATTCATCTATTGATCATATAACCCAAAAATGTTTACGAGTAATGCTAAGGATTTTTTTCATCATTTGAAATTAATGCATATACAGCTGTACAAAATAAAATATGTGTAACGATGCAATGATAGAAACTGAGCGGGAACAGTTTGAATTAGTTTAATATATACTGAAAAGTAAAGGATAATTTTTTTTAACGAATTCAGTTTGAATGCTCCAGCATGCATTATCACTCACATAAGTTTCCTTTTCCTAACATACTGTGTCATTAAACCAATGTAGCCAGATATGAGCTACAACAAAGATTCTATATATTTTGATTAAATAAAATGTGATTATAAGTTTTATTATAATTAATCAAATATTTCATCATCACTGTTGTTTGTTATTTTTAACAATTTAGTCATGTCTGACTCTTGGTGACTTTTTATAGCCAAGCGCTCCCCATGCTACCTTGTCAAGCACAGCTTCTTTCAATTGTTGTAGGTTCAACTTTGCATAAAATTTTATGCTATCAAGCCACTGTGTTCTTTGCTTGCCCTTTCTTCTTTGTCCACTAACCATTCCTAGCATCATTGCCTTCTCCAATGAATTCATATGTATAACATGGCCAAAGTTAATTAGTCATAGTCTGATTTTAGCTTCCAGTGATCTGTCTGGTTTTATACGATTTAACACTTCTCTGTTAGTTATTCTGGCTGTCCATGGTATGCACAATAATTTACACCAGCAGCACAGTTCAAAGCCATCATTTTTTTCCCAATCAGCCATTCAATCAGCATCCAACTCTTACACCCATACATCATTATAGAGAAGAATATTGCTCTAACTAGCCTGCTTTTTGTATTTATATCAATATCTCTGCATATCCAGATATTACTTATGTTAACCAGCAGTGCAGTGCAGCCCAAAGTTATCCTGCATTTGATTTCAGGAGTAGAATTGCTATCGTGAACAACAATCATCATCACTACCACCCTGAAATTATTATGTATTGTAACACTGAAAGTAATGAAAACAACTATGGATATAATGCCTGGGAGTATTATGGTTAATTATTCAAAATCAGACAGTTGCAATATATTCTTGTCGACACTGCACTCTTGCCCTCAGAAGGCTTGTTCCTTCATTTTGCATTAAAATGTGATTCATCAAATAAGGATACATTTAACATTAATATAGTGATGGATTACCTATATGCAAATAACACATGCTTTTTCAATAAATTAGTTTTACTGCTTTAATGCTGCAGAATAATTCAGAACAAAACTAAGAACAAAAGCCTAGTTACTTAAAATTATATGGTACCCTTTTCATCAAACTCTGGGTGGCAACCAAAATTTAATATTAAAATAACAATATAAATAACTATAAAACAAAAGAAACTTGTGACCAAGTTCATATGATCTATGTATTTGCTTGTATTGTTTTTTTAAATGCTGAAATATGTGCCATTGTCCCTTACTGGCATTTGGTCCACTGAGAAGGTAAGCTCTGCCTTATTTTTTCCTGATAAATATCAAAGGCAGAGCTTTCTCATTTGTGATGGCTCACGTAATGTTGACTTCATTGGAAGCAAACCCATTTACTCCAATTGGCTACTGAGTGGTATGGCAGGAATATCCCCTCCCTTTTGTCACAGCATACTGTTCTCCGTAGCCCCTTTTTCCTGGACTCTAAAATGTTGGCTTCTAAAAAATTAAATTAACTAGCACAACTGTGAAAAGCTGGCTCCCCCCTGCCCACCTCCGAGTTTTAACAGGTTCACTTATGAGCCTCTGATATGATGTTTTAGCTTCTAAGTTAATTCTTTCAAGCTAACTGATGGATGGTGAAATTTTTCTTTTTAACTAGGAGGAATTGACTGCCATCTTATAGCTTTAAGTGCTCAGGATATAGATATAATTGTTATATTATTCTCCTCTTCTTTTTCCTTTGGTCCTCTGGTAGATTTACCTCATAGGGGTATCTCTAGTGGGAGAGAGAGTCAAGGGAGGACAGCTCATGCAAAAGGTCTATCCATTTGTGAAACCATTTGTGGTCAAGATCCAATCCATGAAAATGAAAACGATTTATGTTTGAGTTTGATTGCTTCAAGAAAGCAATCTACAGCAGCCACACAACAATGGGCAAAATGATTTAAAAATATGATTTTGTGAATTGATGTTTTATGAATTTTATAACAAAACTATGGAATGTGAAAAACAACCAGTTTTACCACTCCTCCATATGATTTTTCATAGGAACTCAAGATTTTCACATTCTCATTTTCTTGTTAGAATCAAAGAAAAATATACTAAATAAACAAAAATAAACATTTTGGAACTGCGAATTCTGACTTAACGATGAAGCTAAATTGAAAATATGTGCAATGTGCAACACACACATAATCACTCCATCAGTTCAATGTTGACTCTTATCTATATAGGCAGACTTTCTCCAGAATGATCTATCCCAACCTAACCCTTCCACATATCTATGTCTGCATCTATATTATCTCTATCTACAGACACACACTCATACATACATACATACATACATACATACATACATACATACATACATACATTAAAAGCACATATAGATATCAGCATTCATACAATAAAAATATAAGCATTGCATACCTGGATGTATTGCTTGCTTTTAGAAACATTTGGATCATCAGGTTCTACTCTTATTTTAGCTAAGGTTTGTTCTGCTTCAGTTAGCCAGAAGTTAAAATTCTTCATTTCATGATGGAAATTTCTCCATTTCTCCAGTGATTTGTCAAATTTTCTGTAGAAAAAAACCAATGATATTATGACATTAGCATATTGCAAGCAGCAATCCAAAAAAATTGAATTTTTTTTTTAACAATATAGCGATGTCTTTACTTAAAAACTGAAAAAAGGAAAGAAGGTTTGCTAAAGCTGGTGTTGGAAAATGACATCACAAAATGTAGAGATATATGAATACCACAAAATAAATAGAGGATATCTATGTTTCAACACATACAAATGTACACATTTTCCTGCTATTCTGTGGACATCTTTTATTTAACATTTACATTTGTGAAATTAATATATGCATAATTCATCTCTCTCTACAAGAATCATACACTGGATTTTTTAACATTTGTCTATGTGATGAAATGAAAAAAAATTAAAGAAAGAAATATAATTTCTCCTCATTTTTAATAGAGATCCCAGTTCAGATTACCTTAACATATATTTCCGCTCAAAGAAATGTATTCACAAATAAAGCATAACAATTACCTACTGGGCAAGAACACACCTCGCTGACATAAAGCTAGGCCATGTTAACAATGTGATGTAAAGCAGATCCTTAGTCTAATGTTTCTGATCTAGCTGGATTCTTCTCACAGTCAGCTAACATCCTACATCCTTTATTTTAATTAAGAAATCAAAAGAAATACAGTGTTTTTTAGCCTCAATTCTGTGTATTTTCATGAAATGGCATGGAGGTTTATGTGCAAGGGTAATTTTATCAATTGCAATTTATTTTCTAAATTAAAGATGCATCATATCCTACAAATAGTTACAGTATCAGATACAAGTCTGCAGGCTGTCATTTCACAGTTATAAATAAGAGATGTGCTTATCGTACATAAAGGAGTGCAAAACAACACAAATGCTTCTATTTTTTTCAACCAGGCAAACACATCATTGGCAATACACTTGTAAATTTTTCAGCTTGTCAATAGGTAATTAATAAAAAGGCTTCAATATAACTTCATTATCATTATTATTATGAAGATTTTATTGACATTGTTTATGATACACCAAATTAATATATGAAGAATGTAAAGGTCAATAGGTCCAAACATCTTTTAAATTGAGATGATGTATTAGGTTCTTTTGCAGCATTCCCAAATCCATAGATCATAAAATGCATTTACTTTCTGTGCTCCATGAATAAAGTGAGTTCCTTTTTTATTGGGAAAACTCATCCTGCTACGGGGATTTCAGAAAGAGAACAACATGATAATCTGGATATAGAAGGCCTGATGTTTGTATTCTGTGATGTACAAAAACCATTTTGGATGAAAAATGGCAGAATTTGGCCTGATCAGGGAGAAAAGGGTTTCTTTTTCTTCTCATCACTTGACATTATGCTTTTCAGCTTCTCTCCACATAGTGTTAATATTTGACTGATGGACAATTTGTGGTAAACTGTAGTTGCTATTTTCTTTTACTATCCATGATACCTTGCCACAAAAGTTATTATTTAGGTTATGAAAATCATTGTAAAGTTTAGAAAACCTATACCAGTTGATATCCTTATCTTCTGAATGAATCAAGTACTACCATTTTAATTATCTTGATTAGTTACAATATTCCTAATTAAGAATGGAATATTTAACAAATTTCTATAGCCTCCCATCTCACACAATGTGACTTTGAGTAGCATATAATATATAAAATAATTAAAAAATAAAAAGTTCAAGCATAAATAAAAAACAAAAACATAAAAACTCAAAGAGAATATAGAATAACCATCCCTTGATATCACACAACCACTTTGCTGGCTCCCCCTGGGAACAACAGGGTAGATCAAAAAACCCATTCTGATGCTTCCCAGAAGGAAAACAGGTCTGGGGCCAATCTCACTTCAAAGGAATATTCAAGAGGGCCTTGTAAGCACTGGCACTGTGGGCTGCCTGGATGGGATGATGGAGTTAACTACTTCCTCTTGGGCACTTCTGCACTGGGGCATATGAGAGAAGGCATCCACTAGGAAATCCTTTTCATTTTTTCATTTTCATTTTATTAAATTTATACCCCGCCCTTCTCCCGGAGGACTCAGGGCGGCTTACAGCCAGTTTAAAAACAATAGTACAATACCATACAAAATTTAAAAATGATTAAAAATAAATATTTGAATTGGCCGCTTCTACTAAAATTTTTGTTAAAACCAATTAAAATACCCCTAGGCCAGTCCTGCCCGCTGAAATAACCAAGTCTTGAGGGCGCGGCGGAAGGAGGGGAGATCCGGAATCACCCGGATCTCTGGGGGCAGCTCGTTCCAGAGGGTGGGTGCTCCGACAGAGAAGGCTCTCCCCCTGGGTGTCACCAGCCGACACTGTCTGGTTGACGGCACCC